TAACTGAAGTTATTTTCCTTAGTCAGACTAGTTAAAAGGCAAACAAAATTAAAAGATTGGTTCTCTTACCCCATTGAAGAACCCTCATTGAAATTTCAAATTAAATGATTAAAAATAAACAAAACAATAGAAACAGGAAACAAATAAAGGAAATATTGATAAATTATCCGACAAAACATACAAGAATTACAACTTCTTCAAAAACATGTATTATTAAATAAATTAATAAAACCTGAAAGGAATTAATTAATTCTAAAATAAATATACAAAATATAAATTAATCTACAACTAATTAAAAAGATCAGACTTTTCTTAAAGAATCTCCGAACACCCCTCCGAAGACCACCCATGATGAGTCATCACATGGATGAGTCATTACGGCGCCGGTTCGCGCGCCCCTCTCCCCCTCCGCGCGTGTGTCTTATATACATCCCATAACTCTCTCTAGTAAAGCTCGCGAATTTTCATTTTTCATCCCTCGGTCCGTGTAATATAAACTAAAAAATTTAGCTTTCTCACCAAAGCCTGTGAATTCAATAAGCTTAATTGCCTATTCGAATTTAACCGATTTGTCTCAAACATCTTAATACGCTTCCCAGTCATATATGTCTTTTAACATTTCTCACATCGAAAAAAAAAATCTTCCTCATTTTTGACAAATTTTGTTAATACTTGTAATCTTATCCCCGAAGGCTTATCCAAGATTATCCAAAGTTTCTCAAAGGCGGAGTCCCTTCGTTTAATCAGTGTAAAACGATTGACGAAATCGCTCTTCTCCCCAAAGAGAAGCTGCTTCATTATCATCACTTTGAGAATGAGAATCCTGCTGGTTCTCTCCTTTCTTACTCTTTTCACCATTTTCCCCTCAACCGATGCTCATTCACCACGACACGTTCGTTCACTATGCGATCGAAAAGCAGTTCATCACATCCGAAGATTGTGCCCAGACATGTGCTTGACAGGAGGTTTGTTCAGAATATTTTTTTAAAAAACTAATTTTTGTTCATTGTTTCATTTTCAGAGATGCTGAACATATACGAATACTGCAAAATGGGATACTCGGATTCTCAAGTCAAATACATCTGTTGTCCAGAATAATCACTCCCTTCTGAATCTCTATATTTTCGCGAATAAACACGTTCTATTCAAACTTTCGTATTCAAAGACAAACTTTCGATTTTTCTGAAAAGGGTTTAGTTTAGTTTTGTTAATCTCGTTATGAAGATTATTACAAAATTAACAAATTAATCTGAAAAAAGAATTTCGCCCACAAAAAAGATCCTGTGGGGAAGCAAAAGTTCAACATCTCACACATGTCTTGGTTATGTTCTTCTTGAGTTCTATCATAGCATAAATAAAAAATTGTGTTTTATCAGATGTGAAAACCTAAAACACAGGCAAACAATGAAGAGCTCGAAGAGAACAGTTCACAAAGTCAACCCGAAATTTGTCATAAATAAGGCTGAAAAGCCTGAAACTCTAGAAATCTTACTGTGAAGTTTCTTAATTGCCTTTAATGTTCCTGAAATATCTAACTGCAGTTTCCTCATTCTTACAAATCAATTTCTCGGCATAACTGGTTGAGCAGCACTGTATATTCGGATATATTCGCAGTTACCGTATTTGCTCTAATAGAAGCCTACCCTATAGGTACCCTATCAGCTCAGTTATATCGTTTCCTTTGAGAGATATAAAAAATCTGTTAACTGAAAAAATTTGCCTACATTTTGAAAATGAATTTATCAGTTGACAAGTTGTTGATATCCTTGGAAGAAACCGAGATAATTGAGTTCGAACATAGAGTAGGCTCCTATTAGAGAAATGCGGTATGTCGGGAAACGATCTTGAATTTCGACAGCAAACAATTTTGCGCTAATGTTTTTAATCTAGAGGATAATCTGGAGATTACCAAATACTGTCCCTACTGATATTATGTGTTTTGAATCTTATCAACTGACCAGGTTTTTTGGCATTAATCTTCTCAAAGCTACCGTAAAACCTCTAATAGAACGACACCCGG